CAGTTTTTAATCTGTCAAACTGAAATCTCACCTCACGCCTAAAACTTAAAGCAAAGATTGTTTTCAAACAGGAATGTCAGGTATGATGACATTTAAACCTCCATTAGAGGGTTTAGATAGAGAAACTGCAGGAATGTAACACGGTGGAGACGCGATGTACCTCTGGATCCACATGGATGAAGTTAAGTGGTTTTCTTCACATTAAAATGGCAGAGTTTTTAAAACAAAGTTGTAGTCGTGATCCAAGACTTGTAAATGAGATTTACCATCACAGACAGTTTGAGGTGACTCTTAATTTTCTGCTCCTAAACTCAGATAAGACAGAGGTTCTGGTTCTTGGACCTGAACATCTTAGGGATCAACTTTGCAGCCTTTCACCTCCTCTGGATGGCATTAATCTGGCCTCCAGTTCTAATGTAAAGAAACTTGGTGTTATTTTTGATCAGGACATGTCTTTTAACCCCCACATTAAAAATGTTACCAGGACCACCTTCTTCCACCTGTGTAATATCACTAAAATTAGAAATATTTTGTCCAAAAATAATGCAGAAAAACTGATTCATGCATTTATCACGTCTGGACTGTATTACTGTAATTCTTTATTATCTGGACATCCAAAAACCTCTTTAAGTCTTCAGTTAATCCAAAATGCTGCTGCTAGAGTTTTAATGAGAGTTGGAAGAAGATCATATTTCTCCAGTTTTAGCTTCTCTCCACTGGCTCCCTGACAAATTCAGTAAATAATTTAAAATATTACTCCTAACATACAAAGCTCTTAACAACCAAGCTCCATCATATATTAAACATCTTATTGTTCCATACTTTCCTAACAGAGCACTTCACTCTCAGACTGCAGGTTTACTTGTGGTTCCTGGAGTTTCTGAAAGTAGAATGGGAGGCAGAGCTTTTAGTTATCAAGCTCCTCTCTTGTGGAACCAACTTCCAGTTTCTGTCCATGAGGCTGACACTCTGTCTACTTTTAAGATTAGACTGAAGACTTTCCTTTTTCATAAATCCTATAGTTAGACTTAGGTTTCCTGAATTATTCTTCATTTCTGCTGCTATAGACTTAGACTGCTGGAGCACAAACTGCTGTTGTCTTTAGTCTCTCTTCTTTAAATGTTTATTGTAATTATTTCTATTTACATGTTTTCTAATGAAAGATGTAGTTGTTTTTGTACATAACCCTGTTGTGACTTGGTGCTATAAAATTAACGAATCAAGCTAACGTGTTTGCAGAACCCAAAGGTTTAAGCACAGATATGATTTTAGCTCTCAAAGCATGTGTAAAGAATGACTCAGCTACAACCACACATTATTTTAGCTCAATATTTGTAAAATTGACTCATGTGACCCATCATATCGAAATGAGGATTAAATCAAATTTGGTCAAAATGACCTCATCATATTTTCAGATATCTGGCTTTAAAAGCTACATTTTGATACCTGGAGATATATAATTTGTCTTGTTTGTTACAATACTGTTTGGTCTGAATTTTATGTAAATTTCAGTAATTTTTGATGTCAATATAAAGTGGAAACCTCAAATAGTATTTGTATGTTAAGATTTCACAGTTGGAAAGAAACAATAACATTTCTAGCTCACAGGGAAAAATTCAAAATTTTAAGGCGTTTTTCCCCAAAATCAGGTTTTTTGTTGCTAATAAACAATAAATCTTCAAAAAAAAATAGGATTATATTTCAATTCTAAGATTTCCCAGTTGGAAAGAAACTAAAACATTGCTAGCTCACTGGGAAAAATTCAAAATTTTAAGGCGTTTTCCCCCAAAATCAGGTTTTTTGTTGTTTCTGCTCAAAAAAATGCTTGAAAAAAATTTTTTAGGATTTTTTCAGTTTATTCAAATGATACATTGATAATTCATTACATTTTGACAAAATACAATTTTTGCACTTGTTTCAATCAAAATCCTTTATCTTCCTGTTTCTCCAAAAACCACTTTTGGACTCAATCCGTTTGGATGTGACGGGTCACAAATATGACCAAAACCAGCACGGAGAACCAGGAGAAGGAGGATAAACCAAAGGAGGAGGAGGCTAAGGAGGCGGTGGCCGAAGAGAAACCCAGGACCAAATCCAGTCAGCCTAATGAAGCATCTCCTGCCTTCATGTCCACCATCTTTGCTGTTTTTGACGTCTACCTGNTGATAAGGCATTAATTCATTATATTTTGACAAAATGCAATTTTTGCACAAGTTTAAATCAAAACCCCTATTATTTCTCCACATACCACTTTTGAAATTAACCCTTGTTTCGATGTGATGGGTCACATATTCAATTTTTGCCTTGCTTCAGGTCAGTCACTCATTAATGACTTGTACAACCAATGAATACTTTCTAACAGTTTCATTTAAACTGATCCAGTGGTTAATGAAATATTTAGCTACTTTTACAGACAGAACAAAAACAATTTTTCACCTTCACCTTTTGGCAGCAGCTGATAAATACCAGCTACATAAGACCAGGATTAGTTTGATGAATGAAAAAAACTTCATAAGCAGACAAATATCAAAATAGTAGATTTTATTTACACTGTATTAAAGTTATAAACAAATCAGGCAGTGGTTTTTATACATCACCATAGAATTACAGTACAGTGATAATCCTTCCTCCAGCCACCTGTTAGTCCTTTCTGTACCCCACAAACCACAGCTTGGGTGTCAGAATTAAAACTTCCCTTGAACCGGGGTCTCGGGGCGTCTAAAAGCAAAATGTTAAGACTTCATTAATGGTTCAGCCTGACTTGAAGTCAGGCCAAAACTTCAAGACACTTAAAATAGTTTCCACCTTAGCTTCAGCCATACAAGTGTTTCATTTCTTACTCGTCCAAAATTAAAGATCTCTAAAACGCTGACATCTTTAGACAAACCGAACACTTTGTTCTGAGAGGGTGGGAGGATTCTTGGTAAGGAGAGCGGGATTATCTGCCACCAAATTGGTGAGCGTCTTCTAAACTTTTCACTGCTGCTCGAGCGTAACGTCTCCAGGATGTGGTGACGCAGGTCTAACTCAGTCCTGGTTCTTTAGCTAACATCCCAGAGATAAGCAATGACTGTCCTGCTCAAGTCTGAGTTTGTTGAATACCCAACAAATTATTGAGTCTTTCAACATTATTTAGTGTCATATACTCTGTAATCAGATCCAAGTTGCATCCTAACCTGTTTTCACCAATTAAACTGAACTTAATTCAATCAAAAACTAAGAGAAAGTCTTCCAGGATCACGTTCTAACTTTTTAACGTTCAGGATAACCCTCATACGCTGCAGATCAGTCTCCTAAACTAATGAAACCATCAAAACCAGTTTCTTACGTTTTGTTTTCCATTACACGCATCAAAAGATAAGTACGGGACAGGAGAGAAGTCTTTCAGGTTTTAGGTTCAGATAGTTTTAAACGTTCTATTAATTCATCAATGAATATAATCATTTGAAGGGTTTATTTGATCCAGGGTGGAATGAGTATACAACATATGACTTTCAAGATTTTTAAATTCTATTATGGATTTGTTTTAATCCACAGAGGATCAAAGTTATACAAGTTTAAATCTATGCTGTAGTCACACAAATCTATTAATGAGAGTTACTGAAGGTTTTAGACAATCTTCATTTGAAGGCCAGGGTCTATGAGTTTCTTCTTAGTCAACTGCAGCTGGTAGTTTCTATTTGACTGTAAAACATATGTCTGACTGAACTAATTGACAGAGACTCATCTGTTCTCCTCAGATGAAAGGAGGTTGGTTTGGATGTTCAGGAACAACCAGGAACCACCGAGGCTTTAATTCTGCCATGAACTGGAAACTACTGGAACAAGTCCCTGCAGTTTCCACAACCTTCAAACTAGACAGACAAGCCAAACGTTGAGGTCTTGGTTTTAAAGGCTTTGTGGGTCATTTTGTCCCAAGAGCAGCAGGAGGATTAAATGAACTCCACCTATCTGGTCAAGAGTGGTCAAATATCAACCAGAAGCTTGTTGATGCACACAGGTCAACACATACGAGTTGTCCTTGGGTTCGATACCCTGACGCTCACCCAAATTCCAAATTAACAACAAAAACCCTAGCGATTACTTTAAAACCCGCCTAGCCATTGTGAGTCTCTGGATTTGAAACCACGACTTAAGGCTTGCTAATGCTATGTACTAGCGATGATGTATTGGCGATGATCACCAATGGGATGGGTTTTTGTTCCAATCAAACACAAAAAACTCTCTGCTGTTTTTTCTCAGCATTCACTTCTGGGAGTTGGAGGGTGCTCTCATTGGGCCTCATGCAAGAACATGTTCGTATTTTGCATGTATCCAGACATGTATGGCACAATGGCTCAGTGGTTAGCACCGACGCCTCACATTAAGAAGGTCCTGGGTTCAATCCCCAGTTCAGACCTGGGGTCTTTCTGTGGGAGTTTGCATGTTCTCTTTGTGCTTGTGTGGGTTTTCTCCGGGTACTCCGGTTTCCCCCCACACCCCCAAATACATGTACAATAGGCTGACTTCAGGCCTCCCTTGAAAAACAGATCTGAGATATCAGTGGGACTTGCCTGGTAAAATAACGGTAAAATAGAGAAATCTCATAAACAGCTTTAAATTTATTTTACGTCTCAGAGTTAGGATGTAAAACAAACAAAATTAAATAACCATCGCCTTTACTTGAGCTGAGGCTCTGCATCCTCGGCTCTTCTTTCAGTTACAAGGATGGAGCGAGCGGTGTTGTGCCACACTGGAAACCCCCACCCCCCCTAATACCATGAGAGTACTATGGATCTTTTGTGAAAATCACACATTTTTGAAGGTCAGTTTATGGGTAAAGGTCTCAAAGGGGCTGACGTATGAGTGTGGTTAAGGTGCAAGTTGTCGAGGGACTTTTAACAAAATATTAGTGGGGTTATGTGTGTATATATGTACATAACTTTGAGCTTGTGAGAATAAAAAACTCCATCAATTCAAACTTCAGCACAGACTATTGTTCAAAACTGTTGAAGTTGTAGAAATATTCCACCCTGGAAATGGAGATCATTTAGGTTGTATTCACCTGATAGTCCGGTAGACACGGTTCGATTAGGGATCAAAATTACAAGATTTGTTTACATTTTCAGCTGGTTTGGTTCACTTCACACTGCACTTTGTCAAACAAACTAAACCCTGTGAACAACCTAACCCCCCTGTGGTGGCGCTGCTCCAAGAACCACTGAAGAATTCAGAAGACAGTGAACGCAACTTCCTTCTTCACAAAATGTAAACATGGAGTGACGTCAGATTTTAGAGGTTGTAGGATTTATTTTTTGGTTTTGGTAAATGTGCCAAAAAAATAGTCTTCAACAAGGAGATCAACATGAGAGGAAAGTTTATAAAAACAAATGCTGCTTTTTTCTCCTTAAATTTTGATGCCAACAGTTTTAAATGAAGAACAAAACTAAAAAGGGACTGGCCTTGTGGTTCCTGAACTGTTTCTGGTTGTTTCCTTTTGCTGTGAGTATCTGCATGTGATAAAACCAACTGGGCCCAGAAACCAAGGCACAGCGCCAACTGCTGATCTGAAACAGCTTCTGGCTGCTTTTCTCTAGGTTTAGACTCTGAATCACTCTGTATCTGATGTGCAGCCCCACAGGGAGGCTTTACCCCCCTAATGTGCCTGTGATATTCTTTGGTCTGAGAGGTCGTTCCTCTTCAACTCCTCTTATACTCAGTCTGAAAGACTCTCAACTCCAGCTGATGTCATAATGCGTCCACCCGTCTGGTGGAGCCAAGAACACCCTTCGGCCCCGGTGCAGGAAGCTAACTACCCCCCTGTAACCTGTACGAGGTACTCCTGATTTTAAGTCATCCATCACCCCCAAGCTTCGAGCAAAAGCTTTAAAACTGTCCCTGCTGGAGTACTTCACCCTGTACGGTCCAGGTCCTCTTAACCTGCCCCCTTGTTGTAGGTCTTCAATCTTCACCAACGTGGCACTATAAACCTCTTTGATGAATGTTTTGTCGTAGTTCTCTTTTAGCAAATAAGACAAATCCTGTTTAGTGAAAGGCACAAACTCAGTGTTTAGCTTAATGTAGCGAAGATATTGGTCAAAGAATTGACCTAAACTGACACCTTTCCGGCCAAAGGTGATCGTTCGAGAGATTTCAGGCCGGATGCAGGAGCGGTTCCTGCGCTGCTCAGGTTGGCGCATCCAGTCATCCCAGAAGGCCGAGGGCCACTTTGGTTCCAGTTCGTCCCACATCTCTTTCAGCAGCATCCAACCCAGGCCGGGAAAGAAGTCTGTTCTATAAAGCAGATCAGATCTGGACGAGTCGACCAAAGCATCTCTGCCGTTATCGTTCCAGGCAGAAACACACCAAAGGCTGGGGTCAGAGCGTAAGATGGGATACAGAGCTCTGAAATACTCAAAAAAGTCCGGTGCCACCTACATGGGGGAAAAAAACATTGTAAATTAGTGAAAAGTCTTCAGAAATGACAACCAGTTATATGACCGGTTCATTTCTAATAACATGTCTGAGCTGGAGTCTCTGTTCACAGAAAACCTACAGGACTGTTAACACTCAATATACATGTTAATGAGTTTGTTATCTACTAGCTTCTTACACTGATTAATAAATAATAAATGTGGTGGTGTTTAGGATTTTACACATCAGAACACAATAAAACAAGAATACAGCAGATGGCACATTATACACAGAAAAATCAGGAGGGTTAAAATTTCAGTGTTAAACTTTTGAGTTGATTTAACTCCCACTAGTGTTATTTTAACACTTTGAGTAAACTGACTTCCAGTGTTGGTGTTAATTCACAGTGTTGATTTCCTCAGTGTTGTCTCAACACTGGACAGTGTTAAATAAGCCCCGCCCACTGTTAAGTCTTATATAACACTTAACAGTGTTGTAATACGACACCATACAGTGTTGAAAGCAGTATTCTGAAAAGCCCCGCCTTCTTCCACCTCATGTCAGATAGACCAGTGTTTTCACAGCAAGGAATGCTGGGTAATCTTGTAGAAATTATGTGTTTGTGTGTTTATGACTATTAAAGTAAACAGTTGAAAGTTAGTGTACCTATATTGTGTTTAGTTCATAAACCAGTATTTTATTTTCCAAAAATAAATCTCAACATATTCTCCAAACACAAACTGGTTTCAAAAAAGGTAAGATTTCTCTGGATTTACGGGCTGAAAAATGTGAAATGAGCAACAGACTGTTCTGAAGATGCGTGACATCAAAACAAAACAAAAAAAAAAAAACATGTTTGATACAGCGGGTAAAATAAGTATTGAACACGTCACCATTTTTCTCAGTAAATATATTACTAGAGGTGCTAATGACATGAAAATTTCACCAGATGTCGGTAACAACCCAAGCTTAAGATTGGGACATGACTGGGTATTTATTTTTGAAATAATGACTGTTCTGTCATTATTTTTAAATCAAGCACCGGATGTCAGTGTCACACTAAACTTCCTAACGTTTCTGTAGAAACACATTGTGTCAGTTAGTCTTAGTGAAAGACTGCAGAGCTCTACGTTTGTCTAATAACAGTCTGTTAATACAGCAGGTAAAATAAGTATTGAACACGTCACCATTTTTCTCAGTAAATATATTACTAGAGGTGCTAATGACATGAAATTTTCACCAGATGTCAGTAACAACCCAAGTGATCCATACATACAAAGAAATCAAACCATAAATGTCCAGAAATGAAGTTATTTGTAATAATGTGGAATGGCACAGGAAAGAAACAGCACGTTGAAGCTCGTTTAAAGTTTGCGGCACAACATTTAAAC